CTTAACAGCAATTCCTAGCAAAACAATTCCTTATCTCCTGATACAACTTGACTAACGAAGAATTTCTAAATCACACTTTGTAAAAATTTTGATGTTGGGTCTTGTGTTTGGAAGTAGATCAGGTCAATTCTAGTTGAAGTCTTTGAAATAGAAAACTGATTCATTTGGTTAAGAAGAGAAGGTTGAATCAACTAGAATCTGAAGGCTTTGAAACGTAAAACTCATTTACCTGGGTAAGTGGAAATGATGATAGTTTAGACAATTCACCTGGCGATTCAAGGAGCAGTTAAGATAGCAAATTTAACAAGCACTAAACAATTCTTCATTTGTTAGAAATTCTAATTCTTGTCTTTGTTATTTAAACAGTAATACTTTGATAAGGAAAAGGCTGAATGGCTTTCTTTAGAAAGGTAGAAATGAAAATCTTATTTTAAAATGGAGTTTTGATTTAGGTCTAAAGTTACCTAGTCAGATATACTCACCAAAACAGTGGAGTCTGACTGGTTGGTTTTCTAAGGCTGTAAATGTTTGTGTAAGCAGACTGCCTCACGTTCTTCTACAGAGCAGCTGGTGGATTTGAACTACTGACCTTTAAGCAGCCAAATGCCTTAATTACTACACCAATTCAAATATTCTAGTACTTCACTCTGGTGACGTACATATTGCCTAAGGCATTTGATTGCTAACCAGAAGGCTGGTGGTTCAAATCCACCAGCCACTCCTTGGAAGGCAGATTGGGCAATTTACTTCCATAGTGATACTGCCTCTGAAACCCAAGGAGGGGTCACTATGAGTCAGATCCAACTCAACAGCAGTGAGTTTGTTTTTTTTTCATTTTTTACTTTTTCTAAGGTTCATCACAACATTATGATCCTTTTCCAAATCATTCCAACACCTTTAACATAAAGGAACCACTGGTTTTTAAGTGAAAAAAGTTTATTGTTAAAACGTATTTAAAATATGTTGTTGTTATGTGCCGTCGAGTCAGAACCGACTCATAGCGACCCCTCCTTGGGTTTCTGAGGAAGTATCACTACGGAAGATTGCCCAACCTTCCTTCTGAGGAGTGGCTGGTGGGCTTGAACTGCCAGCCTTCTGGTTAGCAGTCAAGTGCCTTAGGCACTACACTACCAGAGCTCCTATTTAAAGTATAGGTGAACATAAAAGAAAAAGTGAAAGCTCCTACTCCACATCCCAGAGGCAAACAAGCTTAATTTTGGGGGATGAATCATTGTAGATCTTATTCTACATATTGACAAAAGTACACATTCACGAACAGTGGAAAATGCTATAGATGTAGATGTAAATGGGTCATATGTATGGATTATAACAAATTATGGATAACGTTGCAAAGAGCAAGAATTCCAGAACAATTTAATTAGACTCATGAGGAACCTGTACATAGTCCAAGAGTTTTAAAATCAGGAAAAGTGTGCATCAGGGTTTCACCATACTGATTTAATCTGTATGCTGAGCAGATAATCCAAGAAGCTGGATCATGTGAATAAGAACATGGCATCAAGATTGGAGGAAGACTTACCAACAACTTGCAATATACAGATGACACAACCTTGCTTGCTGAAAGTGAAGAAGACTTGAAGCACTTACTGATGAAGATCAATGACTACAGTCTTCAGTTTGGATTACACCTCAACATCAAGAAAACCAGAATCCTCACAACTGGACCAATAAAACAATATCATGATAAACAGAGAAAATATTAAAATTGTCAGGGATTTAATTTTACTTGGATCCACAATCAATACCCATGGAAGCAGCAGTCAAGGAATCAATTGGCATATTGCATTGGGCAAATCTGCTGTATAAGACCTCTTTAAAATGTTAAAAAGCTAAGATGTCACTTTCCTAAGATATGCCTGACCCAAGCCATGGTATTTTCAGTAACCTCATATACGTGTGAAAGCTGGATAACAAATAAGGAAAACTGGAGAAGAATTGATGCCTTTGAATTATGGTGGTGGCAAAGAATATTAGTGCCTAAGGCACTTGACTGCTAAGCAGAAGACTGGTGGTTCAAACCCACCAGCTACTCCTTGAAGGGAAGGTTGGGTAATCTACTTCCATAACGATACCACCTCGGAAACCCAGGAGGGGTCTCTATGAGTTGGGTCCAACTTAACAGCACATAACAACAACAACATGTACTGCCAAAAGAACAGACCAATCTGTCTTGGAAGAAGTATAGCCACAATCTTTCTGAAAAAGGAAGATGATGAAACTTCACCTTATGTACTTTAGACATGTTATCAGGTGGGACCTGTCCCTGGAAAAGAAAATTTGCTTGGTAAAGTAGAGGATCTGCAAAAAAAACAGAGGAAGAGATGGACAGACTGAACCATTAGGTATGTCTATGAAGCAAGGAGTGTACCCAAGACCATGTATAGGGTTGCAGACAATGGTCCTAGAAGTGTATTTGTATGATCTGCAAGAATTCCCAGGTGTGTAGTAGAGCTGACAAGGGACAAGGGTGTAGTCACTTCTTGGTCACAGCCAGCTACCCAGAGGGACCGAGTAATTGGACATGTGGGCTCGGGACCACAGTCACAGGGGACATCAAGCTCAATTGGCATAACATACCACACAAAACATTGTTCCACCTCCTACTTTGGCAAGTAGCAACTGGGATCTTAAAAGCTTGCAAGCAACCATTTAGATACAACGGTGGGTCTCTCCTTGACCAGAGCAAAGAAGAATGAAGAAAACCAAAGATTCATGGAAAC